CCGATAAAACGGCCAACCTCTAAATAATATAAATACATTAGGGTATACAGTTATAATGAACAAGGAATTACTTTTTTGAGGTGGAAGACAATGAAAATGCAGTACAGAAGGATGTGAGACGCGCCCTGTCAGATTAATTATAGTCACATGGAGGTACAGATGAGCAGATGCAACGCACATGTGAGTGTGAGAGGGAATTAGGCTGATTATCTTTAATAGGAATGCTTCACGGGTAATGGCTGTAAAGGCACATAGGGGAACTTCAACTCAGCAGTTTTTATAAGCTATATGATTTTTAAGCAAACAAGCCAGTGTGTTTGATGCGTAAGATGCTTTTTGTAATGCAGATGACAGTAAACGTGGCCCTGAACAGTTCCTTGGCATCTAACCTCAACTCCTCACTAATGTGTACACATTAGTGAGGAGTTGATTGTGTAAAGTAAACATGTTCAGTATAGTAATGAGAAATATGGTAATTATTTACGCAAAGCTCTAGGCTCAGTTCCCATTTTCACAGCTGCTGTTAAAATGTAGAATGATGTTGGTACTTTCTGAGGGTCTGGCACAGGAAGTGAGTACACTGCCGAGAGGGGGGCTGGGCACGGGGCTGGGGGGTCGTGTGAGTGTTGTAAAGTTTATCTGCCTACTACTGGCCGGGCGCTAGAACTACATCGTTTTTCAACCTCATGTGAACGCAGAGAAATTTGCATTAGGAGCCAGGTCGTTTCTGTTAATAGCCTGGAAACGTCTGCGCAGCGTCTCAGTATAAACAGGGCCTGAGTTGTCCCACTCTGCAGGCTGGATCTGAACAATTACGTTTTCGCCCCCCTGGAACACAGTCTTCGTATGAACGGTTGGTAGGAACCGACATCCAACTATACCGTTTTACTGCCACATTGTCTCCGTGTAAACTCAGCCTGAGTAGATAATGACAAAGGAAAACACACGCACACACACAATTGCTACACCATGTAGTGATAAGAGATAGCACTGGGCTGCTTTTTAGCCATTCCCCAGCATCAAGAGGAACTGCCCAAATTGCTCAAAATCAACATCCACCACTGACTTCCCCTCATCTTTCTGACACCACCAGAAAAAACTCCAGAACCAGAAAACGTATTATTATTATTATCAAGACTAAACAATTAATATATTCAACATATGTTTTTTTAAGAATTCATTTTATTTTACACTTTCTAAAAATTGGTTGGATAAACTATAAATTGAACTAGTTGAACTAGTCTGCATCAGTCGGTGCTATAACCAAAATAGGTGGATTTAAAAATTCAAGCATACCTGCATGCTATTCACTTCAAGATGTTAC